ATTTCTATCAAACCGAGGGAGGGACTGTGGACACATCGACCACAGCTCAGCGGTGCTTGCGTTCTGTGCACAGGGCCCTGGTTCCATCCCCGCCAGGGCAAAACAAACAAACAGACAGACAGACAGACAAAAAAAAACACAGACAAAAGGACAGAAGGAGAGGAAAGAGAAAGTGAGTCAGGCAGGGAGTGGGGGGGGAGATTACCCCCCCAAAAAAACCCCTCCTTGCAGAAGGAGCTGCTTATATCTAATAGGAGGCAGGAGAAAAAGCTGGAACTGCTCGCCACGGTCCAGAAGGCCTGTGTTTCTTTTCTAAACCTATTGAAAAAGAGCTAACTGGAAAAATTCCAGGAAAACCAAGAAACTTTATAAGACAACCATGATCTAAATATGTAGCCATCTAAAATTAGGTGTGCTTTGGAACCTTGTTGGTGTGAAGGAAATGCATTTGACCCTGGTGCCTGAAACTGCCTCTCCGTGAGTTGATGTGAATAGCTCCAGCTCGCGCCTCACTGAGTGGGTAAATTTCTCTTCACATGGATGGCTTCGCCAGGGAAGACTAGTGTCACACTCCTACACTGTGTCTGAATGTTGGGCTTAGCCTATAGACAAAGCAGGGAAGTGTCAGAGTTATGGGAAGGAGATGAACGCTGTGAAAGATGCTGCCATACCAAGATGATAAGAACGCACTGGCAACGACAGCCCCCGAGGTCCGTCTTCACCCTCGGGGAGGAGAAGCGGCTGGCAAAGACATTTCTGGGGTTTCACTTAAAGCACTAGCTAGGCACAAAAACTCATGCCATTTGAAGTGACACTTATTACTAACAAACCTCGGGTGGCAGATAAGATTTGCAGGAGCTAAGTTCCTCATTTTTCATGGTTGGAGGACAACTGATACCGCTCCAAATCACAAGCCACTACTACATACTTACAGTCTAGAATTTTGAAGGTGGCTACTTAAAACTAAAAGTAGATGTGGCCGTAATCACTAGCCCCAAAGAATGGCTGAGAGAAATGCAAGCTACCTAACTTTCCAGTGAACGCATTAGCAAACCCATTCTGGCATTTCTATCCTTCCAGTAATGCCAAAATGCTAAGATAATGATAATGTCGCCAATACAATTTTCAAACCTAATTACAAAACCCCCAAACCAGGTAATTTTTTTAAATGTCCAACTAGTTATAAAACATGGTACGTACACACCCGAGTTCTAGACTGCACTCTTTCATAAGACGAGAAGATTTGGTTTTGGGTTGGTGCACTTGGACTGGACCTCTAGACCTAGCACTTGCCGTTGAAGTCATCTTGAGCTTTGCTTACCAATCTTTCCCAAGCCTCAATGTCATCAGTCACAAAACAGTCGTAAAGTTGAAATTGAAATAGTCTGGTGACTATTGTTTTAAAACAATACTATACTGGGGTTGGGGATTTAACTCAGTGGTAGAGTGCTTGCCTAGCAAGCACAAGGCCCTGGGTTCAGTCCTCAGCTCTGGAAAAAAAAAAAACCAATACTATACTAAAATAAAATGAATAAAACCTGGAGTGACTAAAAAAACAAACAAACAGAATCCTACTCTGTGCAGCACATACTGTGTTAGCTGTTAGGACCACAGCCGGTCTCTTCTGGGTATACATTTGGCAATTGAGGTACAAAGTCAAATTTAACATCATTGTATCCCTAAGTGACAATAGAGGCAATCGATGATCGGACAACCTTTGTGCCTGGATTCTGACTTATTAAGCATATGAGCTGCCTGAAGTCTCAGCTTGGTGTGGTGTGCACATTAGATTCAGTGGGTCTGGGATGGGCGCCAAGGCTCTGCGTGTTGCTTCTAGGCAACATCAGCACTGCATTCTGGGACCCACTGTTAGTATCAGGACCCAGGAAGAAAGAAGTGGGTTATAAGAGTATTTATATATTTTCATATTATAAATTCATAAGACAAATTTTTCTTATTTAAATAAAGTTGCAAATAACAGGTCTATTGTACTTTGGTGTTCAGGAATGCTGATGGAGGAGGATGAATTACAGATAAGGTACCTGAATCCTTCACAGAAGGTCAGTGTAGTCCATGGGCTCCTAGCCATTAGCACTCTCAGGGTCTGTCCTTGAGTTTATTGATGCAGTTGCTGTGGGATGGTCTGTATGTCAAATTGCTCTGAGTGGTCAATAAATAAAACACTGATTGGCCAGTGGCCAGGCAGGAAGTATAGGCGGGACTAACAGAGAGGAGAACAGAGAAAACAGGAAGGAGGGGGGAGACACTGCCAGCCGCCGCCATGACAAACAGCATGTGAAGATGCCGGTAAGCCACGAGCCACGTGGCAAGGTATAGATTTATAGAAATGGATTAATAGCTAGAAGCCTGAGCCATTAGGCCAAACAGTTTAAATAATATAAGCATCTGTGTGTTTATTTTATAAGTGGGCTGTCGGACTGCTGGGGCTTGACGTTACCCGGAGAGAAAATTCTCCAGGTACATGCAGTCACCATGGAAAAGTCTGGGTCTGTTAGTCTCTCTCTTCTTCCCTGTGGTCCCCCTGGATCACACACCCTCCACGCCCCAGGAGGGGTTACAGTCACAGAATGGGCTAGCTCATGCTGAGTCATTCTGGAGCTCTGCTGTCTCTTTGACAGTTGGGTACTAGGGTGTTTTTACAGGTTGCTTATAGCTCCTTTGGAAATGAATCTAGCAGTATCTAAAAAGTTACATACCCATTTAATCTTTGCACCAGCAATCTTACTTCTAGAAGATACTCTTTTATATTAGGCACATAATGGAACCATAAAGATGTTCACATGCCAATCCATAGTTTGTTCATACGCTACCTGATGTAGTAAAAGGGACCTTACAGATGTGGCTAAGAGCCTCTAGACGGGAGGCCATTCTAACTTGATGGAGTTGGCTCAATGTTATACAAAGACCCTTAAAGTGGAGGAGAAAGACAAGAGGCCATCCAGAATAGTGACATGAACAGTGCTCACTCCAGCATGGTTGGCCTTAAAACTTCCAGAAGGTGGGAGCCCTGAGCTGAGGAAGCTGAGCAGGCTCTACCCCTGGGAAAGGTAGGGAAGGGGCGTGGCTCTCCAGACACTGGGCACTCTGTCCTCTAGAACAGCCAGATAACAAGGTCATGTTTTAAGTCACTAGTTCGTAGCAATTTCTTACAGAGACAATAGAGAAACCACGCCTTCTGCAAATACTGAATGGTCTCTGCAGAAGGTGACCTCTGTGGTGGCCTCAACAGACCATCAGTGGAGGTTTATTTTAATAAACACAGTGGCATATTCCAGACCTTCAAATGAGAATGATGAAGTCCATCATCCTCGAAGGGCTAACCTCAAGGACAGGACATATTTTTAACAGAAAAATCAGCAAGAGGCAAATACTAACATGGTGGTTTTTTTTTTTTTTTTTTACGAAGGAAAAAAGAAGAAAAAACCCAGAAGATCTAGATAATTTTACTTTTTAAAGAGAAACTGTCCACTTGAGCCAGAAATAAATGTACAAAAAAAAATATTTCTTATGGGATATGACGAGGAGCTAGAAGGAAGTAAAACTTCTTGGAAGTTTTTTTGTATATAATTTTGAAACTTGGACTAGCGTAAAATGGTAAACAGTTCCCACACTCAAGAAGTAAAATTGTATTTAAAACTAATTTAAAATAAAATCAAAATCCCCATTACTTACGATGAATAACTGTCTTTGGTCCCTAGGTCTTTATAAGCTAGGCTCCTAATTGAATTTTGTCCGCCGATAGAACAAATACACACTGTCAAGAAACAGATTCCAGCCTGAACTTTCAAAATCATGTCTTGATGGTGGGTTAAGACTGGCATTTCTGCAGATTTTAGTGTTCACGCTAGCCTAACACTGTGTGCCTGGTGCGACCCAGAAAAGCCGTTCCACAGAGCTGGCAACATCACCATCTGGTGGAGGAAAGTGGGAACTGCAGCTTGGGTTTTTCAGCTACTTTCTGTTCTTGTTTTGGTGAGGGGCGCGAGGGGATTCATGCAATCCGGTACAGGTGGGGTGTGGCAGGGAAGGCCAGCAGTAGTTCGTAGTAAGAGTTTGTGAGCTCATTTGAAATTAACCTTATTCCTAACACATGATATGGCGGATTACATTTTAGAAATGAACACGGTTCACAAAACCCTTTCTAAACCTTCTTGCAGCAAGTAGTTTTGACAAAACTTATTTTGGTGCCTATTCCAAACCTAAGAAATCCACTTCATGGTTTTTAACACGGTACATTATCCACCTGCTGTCACTCACAGGCGGGAAATCAACAGGATGACTCCTGATGTAGGATTACCTGTGTTTCTGCCAGGGCGATGGAGGCTCCAGAGAGACCTAAAGTCACGGAAGGAAACGCACATACGTGGCTTTCACCCAGCTCTGTCCAGTACTAGCAAACAAATGACTTTTTTTCTTGGTGCAGGGACAGATTTTCTTTCTTTTGCATGGCTATAGTCAGACTGAACCAGAGAATTGAGGCAACAATCAATTTAAGGTTAAAAAATAACCTTCAAAACAGTAATCATTAAAATGCTTTGGGGGATTACTGCTTCAGTTGACCCAACATCCAAGGTGCCGTCAGACAAATTGATTCGATTCAAAAACAAGTTTTTGAGCATGGACTCTGCCCTGGCCCCATCAGGTGCTATCAAGGGTGAGCTGGATGATCAGGAGATATGGAAATCGCTGCAAAATTAGCTTTAACATTGAAATTCACTACCATGTTTTAAAAAGCGGCTGCTTATGGTATTGAGGGACAGATTATGGGTTTGAAGTAGTTTGAAGTCCTGAGCATAAGGAAGAAGTAACCGGAAGGGAGCGAATGAGCCCTGAAGATAATAGAAAGGATGAAAGAAATAGACATGTGTAGGGATGAGGATGGCAGACAGAAACACAACTTCCTCATGCGCTAGGCTGGAGAAGCATATGTGTCCTGCTAGCTCGTTAGCCCGAGGCGGCGGGGTTCCACTGAGGATCACCTTCTCTCTTTGCATCGGCTACCACCTTTGCTGCGGACTTGCTCATCACGTGCACGACGTAGAGAGGACAGTTCACAGCGCTCGCTATGGTGATGGCCCTCAACGTGGCCTCCGCCTCCACTGCTTCGGGACGGCACAGCTCGTGCCCCTCGGGGCCTGTTATCCCCAACGCCAGCATCTTCTTTGCCCCCTAAAAAGGCAGCAAAGATGTAAAAAGATAGCAGGAAGGATTGCTAATGGCAAGTGTGATTATCTTTTTGGAAATTAAAAGTTCTAGCCGGGCGGTGGTGGCGCACGCCTTTAATCCCAGCACTCGGGAGGCAGAGCCAGGCGGATCTCTGTGAGTTCGAGGCCAGCCTGGGCTACCGAGTGAGTCCCAGGAAAGGCGCAAAGCTACACAGAGAAACCCTGTCTCGAAAAACCAAAAAAAAAAAAAAAAGTTCTGATAGACTTTTAGATCTGCCAGCTGTAGGTGTGTAGAGGCAGAGTGCACATATGCGTATGGTATACATTAATGTATCCCCTGTGCATCCTTTTACCGTTAGCATCTTTTGATTTGAAAAGGTGGGGGAAGGGAGGGGCGGAGGAGACGGCCCAGTTGGTAAAGTGCTTGCTGTGTGTGTAACCATGAGAATCTGAGTTTAATCCACAGAATCCATGTGAAAAAGCCAAACATGGTGGGGGGTGAGACGTTAATGCTGGGGAGGCAGAGACCGGTGGAACCATGGGACCCACCGCCGGCCAGTCTGGCGTAATTGGTGAATTCCCAATTTAGAGACCTGTCTCTAAAATAAAGTAGACTGGCTCCTGAAAAACGACATTTGAGTTTGTCCTTTAGTCTCCACAGTCTGTCTGTCTCTCTGTCTATCCCACCCCTGAAAAAGATGAAGTTTGTTCTCACATTCTGTAAGAAGCACTGCCCAGCACTGTCCATACTTGAGCCTTAATATCTTAATTCAGTCAAACAAAGTAGAACTACTTCAGACCCTTGCTGAAGTGAGTCCTTGTAATATATTGTTTAATTAGTTTTGTTTTCTGAATCGAAGTCTCCACTGCTCCCAAGTCAATCCACTAATAATATTAGATCCATTATTTCTTCAAATTTTTCTTTCTTTCTTTCACAAAAAGGGCTGCAAGTCAAGTTTCAGAGGAATGAAACCACTTGCCCATGTCACACAGTGAGGAAGTCACACCGTCAAGTTTAAACTCTGGTCTGTTTGGGTCTGTGGCTCACACTCCCTTCTCCTTCCTCCCACTGCCTCCTGGCTGCTGGGCTGCAATCTTACTTGCTTTAATGGGAGCTAAGCCTGGGGAAAAGAAAAAAAAATCAGCTAATACAAAGGGTTAGAAACAGCTCCTTAAATCTTGCAGATGGCATACCCTTTGGGCATTAGTAATGGAACTAACCTGAGAAATAAATATCCTCTAGATTCCTCCAGAGCACATTTTAATACCCAGTCTCTGGAAAGTGTAAAGCTTTAAAGTACCATCTGCTCACTTCATCAGACCGCACTGAGGTCCACACACTAGCATTCCGAGCCTCTGAAAACCCAGACCAGTGCTCAGGGATGTGAAGGAAATGATTTACAGTGTCTGGAGAGGCGGCTTAGCAGTGAAGAGCACTGGCTGTTCTTCCAGAGGACTCAGGTTCAGTTCCCAGCACCCACACGGCATCTCACAGCTGTCTGTAACTCCAGTTCCAGAGGATCCAACGTCTTCTGACCTCTACAGGCATCTACATGTATAGGGCACATATAAACTCATGCAGGCACACATGCACATAAATAATACATAAGTCTAAAAGAAAATAACTCACCTTTTTATGACAGCACGTTTTAAAAATTTAATATAGGTAGCTGGTTGGAAAAGGGGACTTCTTCACCCAACCATGTAGACCCACTGCATAAAATCAAAGGCAGTGGCCAAGAAAATCAAGTCAGGTATGTGTGCAACACAGACAGAGAGCAACTTGGGTTTCTGCCCTTCCAAGTGCTGAATCTACCTTCTTAGGGCCCTGTAGTGATATTTGCTCCGCCCATGACCTTGGGCTCTGAGGCCTAAAGGAGGCAGTGCTTCCTGTCCTTGTAAGTGACCTCTTATAAAGAGAGGTTAAGAGCACTGACTGATGTTCCAGAGGAACTGGGTACCCAGGTTCAATTCTCAGGCTGTCGGGAGTGCAATCATGCCAGGATAAAAGTAAATAAATAAATAAAAGGAAGAAAGGACCACATGACCCCTCTCTCCTCTCTTTATAAGAGGTCACCGTACAACCTCAGGAAGCACTGCCTCCTTTGGGCCCGATAGCCCAATGTCATGGGCGGAGCAAATACCACTGCAGGGCCAAATGTCCTCGCTTTAAGGCACAGCTATTTTCCTGTCTGCAGAAGGGTTGGGAGGGGAGTGCGCACCTCTGCAATCAAGTCTCCGTTTTCGGCATGCACCTGAGCTATTGCTCCGATCTCCTTGCACTGGGAGAAGGCTGCATACATCTGCTCATCTTGCACCATGTACACACCCTTGTAGGCCATGAACATCTTGAAAGAGTTAACTCCTTTGTCTTGGGCAAGGGTTTTCATTTCTTCTTTCACCTGGGGGAGGGGCGACAGGTACAACAGCACATCCCTCACTGACGTAAACGATAATTTTAGTGTCTCCTCAAAAGATTGTATTCAGAAAAGAAACAAGCAACCTGAGGGTGACAGTTTCTTTCGGAAACACACAGTTAAATCCACAAACTTCCTCCCAGGTCACACCCCATTTTACCTGATAAACTGCTGCTATGATCCCCTTAAATCACGGGAAATTAACAGCGTCCCCCAAAGTACTTCATTACTGTTCTCGATTATAAAATTTTCTGCATCTATCTTCCAATTAGGAGGTTGTTCCAGAAACAGAAGATGAAACCACATGGAAGCCAGAGGAGCAGCTATGAATCTAGAGGGAACCAAAGCTTCTGTGCGGTAAGGGCTGGGGCTCAAATGAAAAGCTGTAGGTTGAGTTCTCGGAGGAAGGTAGTGGACAGACCAGGTTTGCCTGAGGAAGCACAAACTGAGAGTTGTGCCCTGACAGCGTGTGTGGGAGGTGAGAGGTCACTGCTGGTAAGACTCTGGACCAGCCACAGCTTGGGGGATCTTCAGGGTTCTCAAATATCAGAGGCAAACTGAGATCAAAACTACCCAGTAACAGACTTCGAAGGCCAAACTCAAGTCTCAAAATAGACTAAGACTTGCAAAGAAAAGTGGTTTGAACTTCTATAGGTTAATACACACATACATACACACATTTGCACACATACACACACAGATGCACAAACATACACACACAAACTCACATGCACACACATACACATGCTGTAGAACAATCCTTTTCTATACTATGAATATGTATTACCCTCATTGGTTAATAAAAAGCTGACAGGCTGGTAGTTAGGCATGAAGTTAGGCAGGAAAGCCAAACTGAGGATGATGGGAAGGAGAAGGGCAGAGTCAGGAGTCACCAGCCAGATGCAGAGAGAAGCAGGATGAGAATGCTGTACTGAGAAAAGGTACCAAGCCACGTGGCTAAACACAGATAAGAATTAATATAAGCCTCCGAATGATTATTTAAAAATGCCTATGGGATGGGACGGGACGGAGAAAAACCTCCATTTACATATACACATATACACATGCACACACACACACACACATGAGCACACATGCACACACATACACACACACACACACACACACACACACAATCGAAAGTACAACAAGCATAGCTGCTGTGGGCTGTTCTGTATGCTGTGAATGTGTTGCTCTGATTGGTTGATAAATAAAATGCTGATTGGCCAGTAGCCAGGCAGGAAGTATAGGTAGGATAAGCAAACAAGGAGAATTCTGGGAAGTGGAAGACTGAGTCAGTAGACACCAGCCCGCCGTCTAGGGAGCAGCATGTAATGGCACACAGGTAAAGCCACGGAACACATGGCAACATATAGATTAACAGAAATGGGCTGAATTTAGTTGTACGAGCTATTCAGTGGCAGGCCTGAGTTAATGGCCTAGCAGTTTTAATTAATATAAGCTTCTGAGTGATTATTTTATAAGCAGCTGCAGGGTCCATGGGGCTGGGCAGGACCACAGAAAACTTCAGCTACACATAGCAGGAGTGTTGCTCATAGCTAATAAAATCTCTTCCAACTTGGTGGGGGGTGGGGTGGGGCAGCAAGCCTTGGCACAGAGGGGAGACTCAGAGAGGATGAAGAGACAAGACAGCTGTCCACAGCCAGCTGGCTCTTCCGGTGCATTGAGACTGGACTTCTGCCTTCAGGCTTCAAGATGTAAGTTCTGTTATTAACCCACCAGCCTACAGCACACTGTTATGGTAGCCAGAGATGACAAACACACATGTCCATCTGCTCCTTCATCCTCACCCTGGTGATTAGTGAGATCCATTTCCTCTATAGGTCTAGTTCTCAGAGCATGAGGTGCCTAATGGGTGAAGAGAAGGTGGTCCAGATATACAGAGGAGTGTCTGACTCCAGCCATCTAGTTTTTGAAAAATGGACATTTTTGCTAAAAGTTAAGAGTCTAGCAAGAGCCTTTCTTTTGGACAAACAATAAACTTGGTTTATCTCTTTAAAAAATTGCTCTTTAAACTATCCAGACAGCTATATACACCTATAATGTAACAGAAAAAGAGAACACTTCCCCACCCACAAAGAGAAACCTTATTAACTGAGGTAGAAAATATTAACAATTCGTGGAGTAAGTACATAGACAAAGGTTAACTTTCTACTCATTAAAAAGCACAGCTGGGCAGTGGTGGCACATGCCTTCAATCCTAGCACTTGGGAGGCAGAGGCAGGCAGATCTATATGAGCTCCAGGCCAGCATTGTCTATACAATGAGTTCCAGGAGAGTCAGGGCTATGTAGAGAGATCCTGTCTCAAAGAAACAAAAAGCAAATAATTAAAAAAAAGCACCAAGCTGGGCATGTCCACACACTCTGTAATCTCACCTCTCAGAGGTATAGGCAGGAGGCAAGTTCAAGGCCAGCATGTGACTACAATGCAAGCCCCTCTCTATATTAAACATAGCAGTGTGGATGATACTCCTGCCTACTATTACAAACTGACTTCCCTGACTCAGACAGATAGATATGGTTGTTCAGCCATCAACAGAGAAGCTTCCTCCTGCAGCAAATGGGAACAAATACAGAGATTCACAGCCGGACATTACACAGAGAATGAGGGACCTTGGAATAGTCAGCCTTAAATTGGATGCCTCCATCAAATTCCTCTCCTCAGAGCTCAGAGAGCCCTGCAGGAGACAGACAGAAAGAGAGGGTGGAGATGCCAGGAAAATAAAGCTCTCTAAACCAACATGAGCAGAGATCATATGATCTCACAGAGACTGAAGCAGCATGCACAGGGCTGGGTCCTCTGTGTACATGTTCTGGCTTCCAGGTTAGTTTTTATGGGATTCCTGAGTGTGCAAATGAGAGGGTCTCTGATTCTTGTGCCTTCTCTTGGGCTCTTTTCCTTCTTTTGGTTTGTCTTGTCCAACTTCAATTTGATAGTTTTTGTTTTATTTTATTATACTTTATTTTGTTGTATTTTATTATTGTCTCTTAGAAGCCTGTTCTTTTCTAATGAGACAGAGAGGGAGTGGGTCAGAAGGGAGGGGAGGTGGGGGGAACTGGGAGGAGAGGGAGGGGAAACTGTAATCAGGATATATTATGTGAGAAAAAAACTATTTTCAATAAAAAGGAAAAAGGAAGACTACAAAGAATCTTCATAAAAGGGGGAAAAAGTTTTAGTAAATTGCCTTGCGTGACCCCTAACCCTTATGTTAAAAGTCCTAAGCCTAGCCAGGTGGCAGTGGAGCACGCCTTTAATCCCACACTCAGGAGGCAGAGGCAGGCAGATCTCTGTCAGTTCGAGGCCAGCCTGGACTACAGAGTGAGATCCAGGACAGGCACCAAAACTACGCAGAGAAGCCTTGTCTCGAAAAAACAAAAAACAAAGTCCTAAGCCCTTATTTAGAAGCAGGCTCATCACAAGTGTGGTTAGCTATAATGATGCCATTGACGTGCGTTCTAATCCTCAAAGATTGCTGACCTTGAAAAAGAGGAACCTGAAATGCAGGCTTGTACAAGGAGATGGAAGCAGAAGTCAGAATGATCCTTCTTCAAGGCAAGGGTCACAGAAGATTACCACAGAGAGCTAGAAGCTTCTAGAAAAGCATGGGACAGAGCCTTTCACCCTTAGGACAAACCAATCACAAGATACCTTGGCCTTCTAACCTTCAAGACTGAGAGACAATAAGTTTCTGTCATTGGAGGATGTACTGAGCGCTTGGTCATAGGAACGCAACGGAGCCTGTATTGGGGGATCTCTGTACTGTTTAAAGTATGACAGGGACTGGTCAAAGCTACCACCATTGCCTCTGCTCTCTCACAAAATAAAAGAGGGAAGAAAGGAGAGGGGGAGGAAGAAAAGAAGGAAAAGGGAAGGAAGGAAGGAAGGAAGGGAGGGAGGGAGGGAGGGAGGAAGGGCTTGCCTTTAAAGGTATGAAGTAGATTTAACTCCTTCCTCGATTAGAATATTGTTTGTGGAGAGAAATCCACTTGAGCCGTGGACTATGACCCTTGAAATGATGTTTGCTGGGTTACTCGTTACAGACTGAACTCTTGTTTTATATTCAGTTGGTGTCTGAAGCAAGTTTTAAAAGGGAGGTTGGTGTATGAGTTACTCAAATAGTATCACCCTGATTCACTCCCACCTCCTCCCTCTCAAATTTCTGAATGAAGTCCAACGTGAAGAAATGAGTTAGGGTTTAAATCCCAAGAAAAATTTCTTCCAAGGCATACACACAAGTTTTCAGTGGAAAACCAACCTATTTTAACGGTTCTCAAAGTGATCTTTTGTATCTAAATCTTACTGTTTTCATCATGGCCTAAATAATGATCGGGCACGGAAGGGTGTTTTGAAGTCTGTTGTAAATGGTTGTCAGGACAGCAGGAGCTGAGTAGCAAGTAGCGTTGGGAGAGCTCAAGCCACCCCTGGACACAGCTCGGGGGCCTTGGAAAGAATCCCAGCTTGCCTTCCCCTGTCAGGAATAGGCATGGAGGTCTTCCATTTGAAGGAATTCTAAACTTAGAATTTCTTTGATGTTTTTCTCATACATTAACATTTTCTAATACATTTTAAAAAGATTCTAGGCATGTTGAAGTTGGGAATAAGAGGTATAGGCACTGTGGAAATTAGAGGGAACATCGACAATTCCTGGATCTGTGAACAAGCAGGGGTGGTTTCCTTGTGTGCTTTACATGATGTTTTTACATTTCAATGTTTTGATTGTAATCCTCCTCAGTACTCAGAATTCAACAGATTCAGAAGAACGTGCAATGGAGCCTCACTCCTCCAGTCCCTGGGTCACCCCAAAGATGGGCATCGCTGGGGGTTGCTATAGACATTGCCAGCTTCTTGCTCTCATGCAGAGCAAAGGAGAAGGGGACTAAATGGACACGTTGGAAGCCAGCTGCCTCACCTTGTCACTCCACCACGTCACCGCCACATGCAGGCTGTAGTCACAGCAGACTTTGGGGTCCGCCCAGCTGCGCCAGGTCTCAAAGGCCTCGACGAGGGAGCTGCCCTTCTGAGGAATGGCGAAGTCGATGATCATGGTGGTACCTCCAGCCAAAGCGGCCTGCAATCACAAGAGGGGTCTGGCCAATTAGTCATCCATCTCTGGTCATCTGTCACTCTGTGAAAGCTGCACATCTGTAAGCCCCGGAGTCTATCTGATGGGTCCAGGAAATGCCAAAGATGTTGCTTTTATAAAGACCCAAGAGGCATGAAGAGATTCCCCAGAAACTAAAATTCAAAGTCTGAAAATGTCTGGAGCCACTTCTGAAAAAGAAAACATGGCTGTAAGGAAAAATGGCAATGGGTGGGTGTGCTGGCTCATGTCCCCAGTCCCAGTCCCTGGGTGAAGCAGAATGGCTGCTGTGAGCAGGTGTCCAGCCTGGGCTATGAGACTATTTCTCAAAAAACAACCAAGCAGAAACCCTCAGATGGGAAAAGTAGGAAAGATATAAGCAATTAAAAATAAAAAACAAAAAACAAATAACAGCTATACTCACTGTTGGAAATCCCATTTCCTTGGGGTCCGTTTTAGGGAGTTACATCTCCTGCAGTCCTATGATGCACCCAGAGAACCCTGGAAAACTGGCAGGGCTAAAGCCTCTGCACCCTGAAACTGCTGGAGACACTTTCATCTTTCTTTGATTTACCTCTGTGGTCACCGCCTGCTCTGGTTTTAGCTCAGAACCTTTTCATCTCTAACTGTGGACTATTTTAGCAGGTTCCTAGTTGGTCTTTCTCTCTCTAGTTCTGCCCTAAACATCCACTCAGGGACCCTCAGTGCGGAGGGCATTTCCAGCCCGCAGATGAGCCGCTTGGCTCAGAAGGTTAAGGACCAGGGTGTGGATCACAGCTGCAATTAGATAAGGGGACGACCCTCTGGTTTTGACAGCACAGTAGAGCGACGGAGGGGAACACATTCAGGTTTCCATAGCACAGGAGAGCAAACATCAGTAACAATTGTACTGTGTGTTTCCTGCTAACTAGAAGGGAAGATGTGGAATGTCCACACCACAAACAGATGCTAAGTATTTGAGGCAATGGACATGCTAACTGGCCTGTTTCGACCACTACACACTTCTTTACACAGGCAACACACTGTACTCCGTAAGCATGTGGTTATTCTGTGCCAACTGAAATTTTTAGAAAGTTAATGCTTCTTGTTGCCTCTGCAATGAGGTTCAATCTTCATAAACTTGGTCCCCAAGTCCCTGTATCCTGCCTCAACCCTCGATAGACCTGGTGGCATATTACACTACATTACAAGTAATTTAAAAACTATTACAAAAACAAATGCCTTTGACTCATTATTTAAATAGATTTGATTTAAACGAAAATCACAAGGTGGTTAATGTATTTTTAATTGCTGTACTCAAACAATGTAGGTGAAGAAAACAAACACAATCACAGAAGAATGGTGGCCCCGTGTCAGAGCGGGGGCTCTGGGGGTTCACTGCTCTACAGCACTCCACTCAGATTCTGCGGCTGCCTGGCTCTCTGGAGCAGTTTCCTCTGTATCCTTTGACTCTTTATCCCAGAAGGGAGGGCAATGCCCGCACCTGAACCCTGGGCTAGTGAGGGGACTCGGCCAGGACAAGCCTTCAGCACGGTCGCATCCTGAGAACTGCTCTACGTCAGGAGCCTTGCAGTATTTGTTTAGAATTAGGAGTTGTTCCACTTTTCTTACATGCGTCACATCTCATTTCCTGATGATGGTAATCCAAGAGGGACCGCGGCTTTCCACCCGCAGCCCGGCCCCTTTCCCACACCGCACCCCGGTGCAGCCAGGGCTCTCATGGCCTGGGATGTCAGCTCTGTTCTCTCTCTGTGTGTGTGTCTCTCTTTACTTTATGTAATATTTTTATTCTTCCTGAAGTCACTTGGTGCATTTCCCCTTCTTTCTACTTTTAACTGCCTTACTTCTTTATATAAGATTCTACACTTTGTTACCACCTTTAAATAACATTGTCCTTATTCATGCAGAAAATACATATTTGCATTTCCTAAGAAACTCCTTTTGGTACAATGACAAGACTTGGAAAAAAATTCAGGTTTTGTATTTTTATTTGACTAGAGATTAATCTCATCACCTTCTTCCTTTCTCAAGTGCCTTTCCAATACAAGAAAGTGTCCCTCAGGGATGGGGAGCATTTTTCAAGTAGAAAACAGTTCATTAAAGTGTTAGAAAAAAAAACCTTTTCTAAGTCTACAGATAGAGAAAACCCACCACATGTGGGATGTACAGAAATTAGATACAGCGCTCCCTCAGAACCTGGGGAATTGGTGCCGCCACTCATAGTGGGGTAGAGAAGATGGGTGTGAGCTTAATTCCTTTATATACAATGGCATGGTGATGGTACATTCTGCAGGCACACCCTCCTGTGTATACACCTAGATCATTCACATCATCTCATACAGTGCAAATGGTCTGTAAACAATTGTTTCACTGTATGGTCTCAGCACATGTTCACCATGAATCCACTACAAAGTGTTGTCAGGGTGTACAGCAACGGCTCCAGGTGGTGAGAAGATAAAATGCTGTGGACACTTCGGGAGTTCTTAGAAAGTTAAACATAGCGAGCATGACCCAGCACATCTACTCTTCAGTATATACGCAAGATCCGTGAAAATGTGTCTATCTCAAGACCTGTACACTGAGAGTCAGGTCAACAGTAGAAAGTTCCCAAGTACCCATCGGTTGATGAATAGACAAACAATGGGCCGGTATTTGGCCTTAAAAAGGGATGAAATAGTAACCTCTGCCACAAAACACAGATGAACTCTCAAAAGCATGATGCCGAATGAAAGGAGCCAGTCACGAAAGAGCGCTCACATTGTGCAATTTGTGGAAAATGTTCTGGAGAGAAGAGTCCATGGGGACAGACAGGAGAACAGAGGTTGATTGGGCTGAAGGACATGTTGGAGAGGAGGATGGTCCTAAGACACAGTTTGGCAGGTGGAGAGACATAGACAATAGGAATGTTCTAAAAGAGACTGGTGCTGTCCCCACGATTCTGTCCATATTCCAGAAACCATGGCACCGCACAGTTAAAGGCTGAGTTGTATTGCATCTGAATTATTTCCTAATAAAAATGTTATAAAAAAGACACTATCACACATAGCCGTTACGTGGAATGGAGGGAGCCAGGAAGGGCCACGCAAATGACCATACATTCTTTCTTCTGCTCTCAGGGTGTGGATAGTCTAGGGCAGTGGTTCTCAACCTGCCTAATGCTGTGACCCTTTAATACAGTTTCTCATGTTGTGGTGACCCCCAACCATAAAATTATTTTTATTGCTACTTCATAACTATAGTTTTCTACTATTATGAATCATATTTTTGGAGATAGAGGGTTGCCAAAGGGGTCACAACCCACAGGTTGAGAACTGCTGGTCTAGAGGGAGAGACAGAAATACAAGTATGTAATTATAATACAATATACTCTAAGAACAGATAGCCACTTCTATCATCAATAGTACTACAGAAAATCCTAAGTGTGGGAAAATTTTACAAAATTATCTGGAAGAGTTACAGAAAAGGCTATTGGGAATTCAGAGGGGGGAATTCAAATCAGAGATCTGGGCAAGTTTGGATCTAAATTCGAGTAGGACGTACATATGGAAGCTGTCAATAATTAAGATGGTATCTAGCACACAGCACATGCTTGCCGTGTGCTCCTCTCAATCATCTCTCCAGCTCTTCAGCATTGCTAACCTCATTACAGATAGAGGAGACTGAGCGGAGAACGCTAATTAGAATTCTTGGCAATAGCGGGTAGGGAAGAACCATTGTGCTCCAGAATGCATGCATGTTCCTGGGGGAAGGGAATGGGGAGAAGAGGTAGGCACCCGGAAGAAGAGTCAGAAACTCAGCAGGCTGCGGTAAAGGACAGAATCAAGGCCATCCAGGACCATAGAAAATGGCAGTGTCCAGAGGAGGAAGACAGGACAATGGTTGTATGCAGGGCAAAGGGGGTCCAAAATGGGACTTGATGGTGACACTCAGAATATAAGCACTGGCAGGGCAGGGGAGGAGCACCACCGGGCGGGCACTTTGGAGAAGCACTTGTTCAGGATGGAGCACCCTGAATGTGAGGTGCAGGAGACAGGAAGGGAAATCATCTTGGAGCAAATGCTGGAGAGGCTCTGGGAGAGACGTGCAGGAACCAAGACAGAAGTCCCCAAGAGAGTGAGCACCAGAGCCCCAGCCAAGACAATTGTCTCCAGCGGGGATTTCTGGGTGGTATGGGGATGGGTCAGGTCCCACTTCCTCTAGTCAAACATTATTTTTAATGTCTGCTAAATTTTCTATTAAAAGCCTAAGTGTCTTAAGAAAAAACATTTTGCACTTATATGACACAGAGGCAAACAGACAGGTTTATGATATATAAATCATAGGCAGGGACGTGGCTGATGGTCTTAGGAGGCAGAGGATCCTCCACTCCTGGAAAACTAAAGCAGATCTCAGCTTCCGGGGCTAATGGTGCATCCTCTAATTAACTAGAAGCAGGAAAGAGAACAGAGAGGAGCAATCTCGTCTGTTTCTTCTCCACTCTGTTTCCCCTCCCCTCTTCCTCTCTCTCCTGCCTCCTCCCCCTAGACAGGGAGACTCTAGTGACCAGGGAGCACAGTTCTCACTGGGGAACCATCATTTCTTTTGTCCTTACTCCTGATCGACAGCACCTTTACTTGTCAGCCAAGCAAAATGCTTTAACCTTTTCTAATCTTGGCTCATAAGTCAATTCTCCCAACTCCTAACTTCTTTGGCCGGTTGCCCTGGAAAGCCTTCCAATTTATCCAAACCCCTGTTTGGGGGACAAAAGAACCCAGCATGTCTCCAACGTAAATACAATAGAACTTACCTAGAGATAAACTATCTCACACTGGGTCATAATGTCACATAACCCAAGTTCTTATTGAAGAATGTATTAGGTTGTAAACCACTGCTGAAAAGTCCCCAAAGCATATTCTTCTGTTTTATGGTGTCAGCCATTTTCCCTGTCTAAACTCATCCTGAAAAATGTGTGACTTTGGTTCCCTAAAGTCTACTACAGGACCCAAATA